TATTCGAAGAGGCAGGATAGTTGTTAGACGAGTATCAATGACTCACGAGGTATAATAGTTTATGAATTTCCATGTCGTATTTTCCAAGAAAAAAAAAACGAAAGTAATTCCACTTATGTAAGGCTAGACACTCCGTACGACGATTAAGTTAGTAAAATAAAACGCTATGCACATCCAATTTCCAAATGTGGTATCCAACGAAACCAAATCCAATGCGTAAAACCACAATAACAAAAAAAAAGATAAAATTGTTTGCCTCGAATTCGATTCGATTGTTTATCAAATAGAACCCAAATCAGCAAACTCGACAAATCAATCATATAATATATCTAATGCATTTGTATGAATTCACAGCAATGGCTACTTTAACTTGAAGAAATCAAACCCTCAAACAATATTGCAACAACACATTGATCTCGAAATTACTTTCGAAAAACGATGATCAAGCAGAGGAAAAAAAAAACATTTCCAGACAAAGAAACAGATCAACTGAAAAGCTAAACATATCGGTGTCCGTACGGACAAAGAAATCAAAACCCCATCTCAAGTAATGAATGAACACAGTTTGTTGAAATCAATGGCATTGCCCACAAAAAGAGAGCAGAATTGAAGAACAAGCAACCCAAAATGAAACAAAACCCACCTCGAATTGTTGTCTGAATAAAAGTTTGTTGCAGTTTCGGGGCGCCGCAAGAGGAGACGCAAAGAATTGAGTGAAGGGATTAGAGAGTGATGGATATTTATGGATTGGAAATAATAATAATAATAATGGTAATAAAGGGATTATTGATGATTCGGTGGTGTGGAAAAATGTCGTGAATTTCGGGGGGTGGGGTGTCATGTCACGAGACGAAACTGTTTCTAGAGAGAGAGAGAGAGAGAGAGAGAGATGGGAGAGAGCGATGAGAGAGAGAGAGATGTAGAGAGAGAAAGAGATGAGAGAGAGGACAATGGAATTGGAATCTCAGTTGGGGGTCTCAATTCCGAGAGTGTGTATACAGAAGAAGCAGTTGTTGTCAAACTGACGGCGATTCCTTTACCTTTGTCCGTTTTCTCGTTTTCTTGTCTTTCCTTTTTATTTTCTTCCCAATTATGCTTTGCTTTGTACGGGTATCACGTTTTTTTTTTCTTTTCTCTTTTTTTTTTTCTTTTTTTCTTAATTATTATTAGTATTTTTTGAAATGCTTTTTTGTTTATATATATATATATATATATATATATATATATATATATATATATATATATTATATTGTTCTAATTGAAACACAAAACAAGTTAATTCGTCCTAGTGGTGGAACAAACTTGCCAAGATTTTATTGGATCTAGGTCTACCGTGCTGGCTAGAGGTGTAAATGAGTCGAGCTCGTGCCGAACTTGCCAGATTTTTCGAGTTCGAATTCAACTCATTTTTTTTATTTTTTTTATTTTGTTTCTGATTTTTACATAATATTAATTTTCGCTTTTATTATAAATTATTCATATGAAAAATACAAATATTTAGAATAAAACATTTAAAGCTCGTGAGCCGTCTCATGAACTCGTGTACAACTAAAGATGGGCTCGAGATCGAGTGTTTATCGAGCCAACTCATCGAGCTTATGAGTCGACTCAGCTCATTTACTAGAACTGATACATGCTCAAAGTTGGAGTTCAACGAAACTATCAACTATTTTTTCTAACATTTTTTTTTTTTTTTTTGAAAATGTATTATTTTTCAGTTACGAATTAAAACTTAGTGTTCAACAATTTAATTGCACGTTCACGGGAGGAATTGAATATATGAATGTAATGCACCTAGTAAGACCAGTCAACGAAAGTACAAACAAAGAGAATCATATTTTGATTATTATTTTGTTACTAATTAATTTCTCAAAAAAAAAAAAAAGTTACTCCAATTTCTAGTGACTGTCAACGTTGACTCCAAGACAACATTAATCAAGTAGTATATTTTAAACTGAAATAAATAAATTTATGTTTCAATATGCCTCAATTAAAAACTTATTTTGTTCCTTTTAAATTATTTCTATATTTACCTATGTCAGATTACCTGACGTCACAATATTTTAGTCAATTGTCATTAATTTATTTAATTCTTAAGATTAGCAATTTGTTAGTGATACTGTAAGATAAAACCCAAACTTCAGGCACTACTTGAGCAATTAATTTGTCCTATGTAAGAGTGTAAACAAATCAAATCACATATTTGTTAAAGCTCGTTTGAAATTTTATTGAAATTTCAAAATTGTGTTTGGATTTGGTTGATAATCAATATTTAATACAGTCGAACTCGACGAGTTTTAATTGAGCTGAATAATCAAACTCAAGTACCTTCATTTGTTCATTTTTTTTTCTTTCTAATTGAACTTGATCTCGAACGAGTTTTATAACTTATCGAACGAAAATATGTGTTACAGTTTAGTTTGTTATGCTATCAAACTGAACACGAACAACTTGAAATCGAGTAACATGATTTGACTTTTCGCAGCTTTCATATTGTAATAAATTTGCAATGTAGTGACTAAATTGAAATCAACTCAAAGACTAATATAACTTCTCTTGTAAACATTGAAATTTAAGTCATAGGCGTTTCAATTCAGTCAACGTTCAACACATAATTAACATACTCTATTTTAATAATTAATAAATGATTATACTACTAATTTACGTTTTACCACATAAGCTATTTAAACAGTTAAAAAAAATAATTAACCTTGGGAAAAATAAAAACAAATCCAACGGTGGAAAAATATCCACCACCCTAAATCACCTCCCCGCCATTTCTTGCTCCGACAAACCATACTTCCGGACACATTTCCTCAATTTCCCTCGGAAAAAAACAAAACCCAAATTTTGCTTTTTTTTCTTTACTTTCTCAACCAAAAGTCAAAACAAATTCTAAAATAAAACCAGAATGTCAAAATGGTTAATCAAATGAAATTATTCTGGACGTTCACTTTAATTATCTTGTTGGCCTCATCGTCCGTCACCCGTGCAGCCACCGATGACGTCACGGAGGACGTCTCCGACGACGGCACGGAAGACGACGGCGTCACCGGCGGAGGTGTTGGGGGAGCCGGCCAACCCGTCAACCAGGCGGCCATGCAGCTCCTCTCCCAGGCTCTATTCAACCGTTTCAGCAATTTCTCCGCCTTCTTTGGCCCCGAGATCACCAAATATCTTGGCTATTGCATTCGAGACCCGTAAATAATTACAAAAAAATATCTTCGATTTTCCCCTTTTTTTGTTTTTTTTTTATATAAATTTATTAATCTTTTTTTTTTTTTTGTAGTGATGCTGAGTGGAATGCAGCATTTAATTTCTCCAAGAACACGCAGTTCTTGGCCGAATGTCTCAAAATCGACAAAGGTATATCCAGTTTTTCGATTTTCCACGATTATTCGACTGAGTTTTCAACTTCACATATACATACATACATACATGTATATGTATATATATAGTAATGACTTACGTATACGAGTGCGTGATATAAAACACAGACGCTGTGCAACGAATATGCACCGCAGCAGAAGTGAAATTCTACGGAGCAAGTCTACTGCAAAGCGCCGAAAGTGGAGGAGCAATAAAAAGTAACTACCTTAAACCTAACAAGAACTGCAACCTGTCGTCATGGTCAGACGGTTGCGAACCAGGTTGGTCATGCAGTGTGGGACCCGACACAAAAGTCGACCTTAAAAACTCCAAAGACATGCCCCTCAGAGACCTCGATTGCCAGCCTTGCTGCGAGGGCTTCTTCTGCCCTCACGGTCTCACGTGCATGATACGTACGATTTTTTTCACATTTTTTTTCATAAATGAAAAAAATTACAAAACATTTGTCTCTAATTTTGTTTTGTTACGTTCTTGATTTGAAGCGTGCCCGTTGGGAGCTTACTGTCCTATGGCGAAACTCAACAAAACTACCGGTGTCTGCGATCCGTAAGTTCGGGTTTTTTAATATACTTTTAGCTGTTTAAAGCTCGAATTTTTTATAAATTTGATTTTTTTTTTGAAGGTATCGATATCAATTACCTCCAGGGCAATCGAATCACACGTGTGGAGGAGCAGATATTTGGTCGGATTTTACGACTGGAAATGAGTTATTTTGTTCAGCCGGGTTTTACTGCCCCTCCACCACTCTGAAAATTCCTTGCAGCCAAGGGTATAATAATAATAATAATAACTGTTACAAATTTTGATTTATATTTTTTTTATAATGTTATTGAAATTATATATTCTTGATTATTTTATTTTTTTAATAATGTTTTGCAGGCATTATTGCAGAGCTGGTTCTACTGCTCAAATAAGTAAAGTCCAATCCTTTTTATTGAAGCAAAGCATGTTTTATAATTGTATTTTTAATTTGCATTCATTTAAATTTTATGGTTCAGGTTGCTATCAGCTTGCAACTTGTGAGAAGCAAACTGCAAACCAGAATATCACAGCCTACGGTCTCATCTTCTTCGTAAGCTTCGATCGCTTCATTATTTTCGAAATCGTAAATTATAATTAGCTGTAATAATAAAATGTATTATTTCTTCTGTGCCTACTTTAGGGCGGGATCACTCTAGTACTTCTGATCATATACAACTGCTCCGGACAAGTACTGAGCACCCGAGAAAAGAGACAAGCAAAATCTCGAGAAGCCGCAGCAAGAAGCGCTCGAGAAACCGTACAAGCACGCGAGAGATGGAAATCCGCGAAAGAAGTCGCTCGGAAAGGCGCGACCGAGCTCACGTCGCAGCTCTCACGCACATTCTCCCGCAAAAAGTCCGTCATGCACGAGGGGCCCAAGAGTTCGGGTCAACCCAAACCCGGATCCGACGCCGCGGTCCCGCCCATGCCCCCAAGCGGGGACCCAAAAGGGAAGAAGAAGAAAGAGAGCAACCTCACAAAAATGATGCGCGATCTCGAAGAGAATTCGGATGACGAGGGTTTCAATATGGAGATCGGGGATAGAAATTTGAAGGGCAAAGCGGGAAAAGGGAAGCAACTCCACACACGGAGCCAAATTTTTAAATACGCGTACGGTCAAATCGAGCGGGAAAAGGCAATGCAGGAGCAAAACAAGAACTTGACTTTCTCCGGTGTGATATCCATAGCTTCGGATATGGAGTTCTTGAGTAGACCACCTATTGAAGTCTTTTTCCAAGATTTGACCCTTACGTTGAGAGGCAAGAACAAGCACTTGTTGAGGTGTGTGACCGGGAAATTAGTGCCGGGCCATGTTTCGGCGGTGATGGGCCCGTCGGGTGCCGGGAAGACAACCTTTCTGTCAGCTTTGACCGGAAAAGCTGCCGGATGTACCATCACCGGCTCGATTCTGATCAACGGTAAAGATGAGCCGATGCAGTCGTATAAGAGGATTATTGGGTATGTGCCACAGGATGATATTGTTCATGGGAATTTGACTGTGGAGGAGAATCTTTGGTTCAGTGCTAGATGCAGGTATACTTCTTCTTAGAGTTTATTGCATTTAGTACCCCTGAGTTTACTAATAATAACAATGATTGAGTTATAATCTTTAAAAAAAACCTTTCTTGGCAGACTGCCAGCTGAGCTGGAAAAGCCGGAGAAAGTCCTGGTGGTGGAGAGAGTAATCGAGTCCTTAGGGTTGCAACCCGTTCGAGACTCGATAGTAGGAACAGTCGAAAAACGAGGAATTTCTGGAGGTCAAAGGAAACGAGTCAACGTCGGCCTCGAAATGGTCATGGAACCTTCTCTCTTAATCTTGGACGAGCCCACTTCTGGTTTAGACAGTTCTTCGTCTTTGCTTCTACTTAGAGCTCTTCGCCGCGAAGCTCTCGAAGGAGTAAATATATGCATGGTTGTTCATCAACCAAGGTGATTTCTCACTTTCCCAAATTACGAAGAAAAAAAAATCATCGTATATATCGAATTTAATCATTGGCGATTTTTTCTTTTGATGTAGTTACACATTATTCAAGATGTTCGATGATTTGATACTTCTAGCCAAGGGCGGACTTACAGTGTACCACGGTCCGGTTAAGAAAGTGGAGGAGTACTTTGCAGGCCTTGGGATACACGTTCCGGAAAGAATGAACCCTCCGGATTATTTCATCGATATATTGGAAGGGATAGTAAAACCGAGCGCCAGCTCAGCGGTTAAGTTTAAGGAGCTTCCACTAAGATGGATGCTCCACAACGGCTATCCTGTGCCAGCAGATATGCTGGATTCGGCAGGGGTGGCCCCTACTGCGTCGGAAGATTCCGCTCACGGCGGAACTTCAGCGGCAAAGACGGAGTCCGACCAGTCCTTCGCCGGAGAGCTGTGGCAGGATGTGAAGTTCACCGTCGGGCAGAAGAAAGATCACATATCTCATAATTTCACCAAATCGCTCGATTTGTCTAACAGGCAAACCCCCGGTGTTTCGCTGCAGTATAAATATTTCGTCGGAAGGTATTTGTATATCTTGGCCTTAAAATCAAGAACGAGGCTTTTATTTATTTATTTACTATTTATTTTTTCCTCAGAGTGGGAAAGCAACGACTAAGAGAAGCTAGGATACAAGCGGTCGATTATTTGATTCTACTATTGGCAGGAATATGCTTAGGAACCCTAGCCAAAGTGAGCGACGAAACGTTCGGTTCAACGGGATATCTATACACAGTCATTGCAGTCTGTAAGTACAAGAAAGATTTAAAAAAAAAAATCCTAATTTCATTTTTACTTATTACTAATAAAAGCTAATTCATTAATAATTTTTTCTATTTCTATTAGCTCTGCTCTGCAAAATTGCGGCTTTGAGATCGTTCGCTCTGGATAAGTTGCACTATTGGAGAGAGAGTGCTTCAGGAATGAGCAGCTCGGCATATTTTCTAGCAAAGGACACGATCGATCATTTCAGTACAGTTGTAAAGCCTGCAGTCTATCTATCCATGTTTTACTTCTTCAACAATCCTAGGTCAACCATTTTCGATAACTACCTGGTATTGCTTTGCTTGGTCTACTGTGTTACTGGCATTGCCTATTTTCTCGCCATCTACTTCGAACCCGGTCCCGCACAACTGGTGGGCCCCGTTAAACCTTCTTTAAGGTTTTCTCATTATGTACAACTTAAATATTTATTTATTTTTATTTTTATTGTTTTTATGTTATTGCAGTGGTCAGTTTTGCTTCCTGTTGTTTTGACTCTGATTGCTAACCAAGAGGGAGATACGTTCGTGACGAAATTAGGAGACTTTTGCTACACTAAGTGGGCATTGGAAGCGTTTTTGCTAGCAAATGCCGAAAGGTTTGACTTTAATTTGACCAGAATATTATATTGTTTTCGTTTATTCGGGTTTTGTTTTTTAAGTGTAGGGGTGAATTTGCAGGTATTCGGGGGTGTGGCTAATTCAAAGATGCGGTGCGCTTAGACAAAGAGGTTATCACCTAAAGCACTACTATTCTTGTCTAGCCTACCTTCTTGCTACAGGCATACTAAGTCGAGCCGTTGCTTTTTTCTGCCTCGTCACTTTCCAGAAAAAGTAATTAAATTCCGTAAAAAATGGTTTCTTTCTTCGTTTTGGGATTACATTTCCCATAATAGCACAGGGGAATCGGGAGTTAGGAATTTTCAGACAAATGTATATACGTTTGCACAGAATGTTTCATGTGTTGGGGAGGAATTTTCAGACACGTTATAAACATGATGCAAAGATTAAATGCATGAAGGATCTTTTATTTTTCAGTTCTATTATCCACATTTTTGTGTAAGTTAAAGAAGTGATAACTAACCTTTTATCGAGAAAACGAGTATTCATCTCCAAACAATATCACCCATAAATTTGAGAGCTGGTACACCCCTTATTTCTACGTCGATTAACGGTGACTCGATTAGTTTCAATTTTGCCAGTTCGGAATCTTTCTTGATCATATCAAGAGCACGCATCTGGTCCTGCAGTCCAACAAAAAACGAAAAAAAAAATTATTAAAAAAAATTAAAAAAGGGTTATGAAACGTGCTAATGATTTTCTCGATTCATATGTTACCTTTCTTTTCATTGCACAAAACTTGCAATCACTCTCTGATGGAGGTAGCAGTTGATTTACGATAAGTCTTCGTACGGGGACTTTTTCCTTCAGCAGAGATGCACACAATCTTGAAGATTCACTTAGTGCCATAACCTTCACAAAAATAAAAATCAGATCGATCAAACAATGAAAATTAAATAACTCGACTAGAAAGAAGTTAAGGCAAACTATGCGAATTTATTACAGTGGGAATTGTGACGATGACAAATTCTGTGGTCTCTGAGTTGCGAAAAAGATCTCGTACTTTTACCATTCTTTCCCTCAGTTGCTCTAGCTTGTCATTCTGCACAAATTCAAGGTATAACAAACATTTGAACCGTTGAATTGAAAATATAATAAATAATAATGACTCGCGCTTACACCATCTAGCTGCGGCTCTCCTTTACCAAAAGCCGATTTAAGTGCTGCTGTTGCTGAAGATAATTTCTTCTTGAGCTGAAACAAGCCAATACAGCAAATGGGCAGTTGATCAGTAAAATACTTAATTGCATATTTGCACCAAAAGTCTTGGCTATTTGCAAGTTAGCAACAGCGTGGGTACTCACCTTCATCATCTTGCCTATAGATGCATCCAAGAAATCCGGCAATGAAAGCAGTCGAAGTGTGTGACCCTACCAAAAAAAAATTAATAAATAAATAATTGTATAAACGATTCCATAACCACCAGCCCGTGAACAGATTATTTCCCTACCGTGGGAGCCGTATCGAAAACAATGCGCCTAAATTTACTGTACTCTTGGGAATCCACAAATTGCATAACCTGCAAGATTGCTCCACAATTACTCTTACATTGAGTATTAATGAAGTTTAGGATCAGTTCAAAGTATTACGAATGTTAATTTATCATACATGCCTTGGAAATTGCGATAGCTTCATCGAGACCTGGTGGAGGAGTGTCCAATAGCTCTCCAAGTTTGAGTTCGCCCAACTTCACATTGCAAAAAACAAAACAATATTAACCTCGTTTTCTTATCTTACGAACCAAACGAGGATTAAAGATACAGATTAATACAATGTAATCTTACCTGATTAGCAAGCATTCCGAGGCCCATACTATCCATTAAGCTTTTCACACCCCCTTCACCATTTTCACTCGCGGATCGAAATTCTTCCCTCGTTTTCTCAGGGTTTATCTTTCGCACAACCGCACCATCATAATAAGTTAAAACTCTCGGATCGAAAAACGAGATATAAATATATCAAAAAACAATGTTTGCTTTTTTTTTACCTCAAGTGCATATAGTGGAGAATCCACACCTTGTACCGAAACAAGCCCCCCTCCACTCAAATCCTATAGAAACAATTTACATCATCAAAACGAAGAATTACCGTTTAATTAATTTAAACAACGAGAATAAAAACGAAAGGCATAAGCATTACTTGATCAAAAGAATCACTTAAAGAGTGAGCAGGATCAGTTGAAACCACTATAGTGGGGTGGCCATGGTTTGCGAATTTTACGGCAAGAGAAGCTGCGCAACTCGTTTTTCCGACACCTCCTTTTCCGCCTAACATGTAATATTTCCTCTGTGATCCAGAAACCATTTCATTGAATCCAGCCACTGTTTCTATGGCAGTAGCCACAGATCTCACTGTAAGAACAAAAATATCGCAAAATCGTCACTTAGTTGTTACGATTCATCCGTTCATACTAAAATCCATAATCATTCAAATTTCTTCATCTTTTTTTTTTTAATTAAGGCGAGAGATCGTCGCCCTAATGCCTGACTAAAGGATGATCCACCTCAGGTACGAACAATTAGCAAAACAAAAACGCACAATTTCACAAGCAATAAATAGGCACTGTAATTAAACACTCAACAAATTTAAAAAGTAAGCAAACAATTCAGAATACATTATTCTAACTTAAAATACTTCGCAGCTGTGTGTGTGTGTGTGTGTGTGTGTGTGTGTGTGTGTGAAAATGAGGGGAAATTACCTTGGGATGGGAGTGCGAGCGGATTAGGATTGATATGATTGGAGTAGGAGTTGAATATACTTGTGCCGAATTTGGTAGATGAAAATTTGTGAAACTGGGGTTTGTATATGTGACGGAGAAGAGAAGAAGCCATCGCCATTTTCAATTTCTTCACAAACGTTTTTTTCTCCGAATGCAGGGAAAAGGTGGCGCGTAGGGAAAACAAGGGCTTCGTAGAAGGGGTTTTTAGCAGACTTTAGATGAAATTTGGGGTAGTTCTGACAATATGAAAAATTAAGGGGTTTCGAAATCAAAATATATGACTAAATGAACTGAACTCATAAATTTTACTGTAAATATAATTGCTCCAAAAAAATTATTTGAAAAACGACCATTGGTAAAATTAACATATATAAATTTTAATAAGTAGTTTGGGAATAAATAAAAAAGCAACGTGATACCCTATGTCTAAATGCTCGAATCGAACAAGTTTATAGAGAGGCACACGAACCAAACTTAAGCACATGCAGAATAATAATATATGTTCAAAATTGGTCACAATCTAAATAGTCAGGCCTAAGTTAGTCGATGGTATGAGGTTTAAGCCAATGAAAATATAAATATTACAATCAAATGTATGCTATTCGTAACTCTGAAACAGTCTCTTAATTTCTCTCAATGTTTCTATCGTACAGAGCTGACTTGAGCATCGAAATTTTTTTGCCAAGACCAAGTTCCGGCTTCCTAACGACTCTATGTGACACATGCAGTGCCTGCGCGAAGAGTACAAGAGAGGAATTGCAAGACATGCCGTGGAATCGAACCACATCATATATAGGCTTATTATAGAATATAATTCTAAAATTTAAATTACTTTTAATATGATTAAATAAAATTAAAATGATTTTATATTTATATTATTAGAGATACTCCTTCATATCCAATGATAATGGTTTGTACTTCAATATGTGATTGGCAAAACATAATAAATATGGGCCAACGTGACAGCCCAAAATCAAGAAATAAACCGAAGTCCAACTTCATGTTCTAATTATGTTCATGATTAGAGATATTTTATTATATTATTGAATTTTGATTTTCTTTTTTATTATTATTACCTTAGTGTCCAAAAAAAGCATCAATTTTTCAGTTGAGTACTTATTCATACCAACATCTTGGAGCATAAGATAGATCTTATTTGGACATCATAAGCAACTAACCCGGCCACCATTTTCACACCTCACTTATAAAACAATACTATATATATATATA